GCAATTATAATTTTCCTTATAATGATTTAAAATAAAAATCATAATCTCATTGTTTTCTTGTGAAATTTCGGTTAAATTTGAAATGTAATCTTTAAGAAACTCCACTAGTTCATCTTTATCTCCTAAAAACCTATTATTTTGTATTAATTTCGTTAATTTTATTAAAAGTTTTGTGAATAAGGTTTTATTTTCATCTATTTGTTCTTTTAAATTGCCTTGATCGTTATTAATGAATACATTTTTCAGTAAATTTCTCAAGATATGTAAAATAGAATAATCTTCTGAGAACCAATATTGAAATTTGAATACTTTGGAGTAATTTTTATCAGAAACTAATAATTCATTGAAAAATTTCAACAAGTGAATAATTATTAGTGATTCCTTACATTGACTAGCAATTTCCAAATTTTCCAATATAGTATACATAGAGTTGTCTAATAAATCTCCAGATATATCATCTGAATCCAGAGCTGTCATTATGAATTTTTGTAAAAGCTGTATAGATCCAACAATGACGTAGTTGTTATTTCTTGTAGCATTACTTTTAATTAAATTTTGATCTTTCGATAGTATATTACATAAATTGTTTATTGTCAACTGGTGAAGGAAAACATTTCTAGTCAAATTTTCAAATATTTGCCAAACATAATCTTTTTCAATGTTATAAGAACCAGCTAAAACTTCTATTGTATTAGGAAATAATGCTAATGGTAAGATCCTATAGATTATTAAGATATCCATGAAGCTTAAACAATTTTTTAAAATACATTTACTTGCTGTTATATTTGATAATAAAATAATTTCTTGTAAAAACTTGGTAACTTCACTTTCATCAAACATGCTAAAATTGAGTTTAAAACAATTTATAATAAATTTAATCAAATCATCAAGATTAACTTCAATAAACTTACTATTATCATAGTTTTTCACCAAGAGTCTTAAAGAAAAATAAAGAAAATCTATTAAAGAAATAGATTCATTTAAACAAAAATCTCTTATATCAGATCCATTATTAGTTAAGCATACCAATGCTTTTAAAAAAAAATTCAAACTCTGATCTATAGAGTTGAAATCAGTAAAATCATTGCGACAGTATTGAATAATATCATTATAATAAGTTAACCTTATAGATACCGAATTAAGATCATCATTCTTAATACAATTCTCTAATAATTTCAAAACAATCTCTCTATTTGACTCATTATTATCTTCAAGTAAATCTTTTGATGCATACCAAATCTCAGGAATTGAACTAATGGAAAATTTATTTAATGAATCTGTCAATATTTTAATAGTCTCTAATCTTTCACTTATACTTCTATTTGATCTGTCTAATTTTTCAAATAATTCTTGTTGATTCGAAACTCCCCCAACAACTGTTGGATTTATCACTATTGGTAAAGATTTATATTTCTTATTATTACTCTTGGTTTTACTCGTGGTGAATGATCGGAACACATTTGTAAAACCTCCTATTGATCCTTTGCTACCATTATTACCAACACTAGATGCTGACTTTGTGTTATGATTCATAGCCATTTTTGTACATCAGGTTTATTCATTATTCAATTTCATAAATACTAAATACCTTTTTGTATACAATTTTATGAAAAAACGCTTTAAAAATTATATGCACATTATGCAAAACGTTATAAATTCAAATATTATTTTGATATATCAACATGAACATTGATTAGAAAACAAGTTTTATTTTTATTACAAGGGCAGATGGCGAATTCAGTTGTTGAGGGGTGGATTAGAAGATATGGAATTGTTGGTTTTTGGTTTTTGCTTTTTAAAAGAAATGAAGATAAAGTTGATATATCGTAAAAGCAGGAGTATTAAGGAGATGTGAAAATATACATCAAGATTATTATTATAAATTGGTTGAAATCAGCTCTCAGGGAATTATGGTTTTTAAGTTGAAGGAAATGGTTATATTTTGCAGTTTTATTCTCGGAGGTTGAGAAGGTTGAGAAGGTGATGAATAATATCGAAGATATGGCTCATAGATTTATGACTGCGGTCACTCCAATTGTCCGCAATGTGAATTTCCATAATATTCTCTATGGAGTTGCTAGAACAACTGGATATTCGTTTATTTTCTCTAGTAGTTCCATGTTGATAAGCTTTGGGATATACCGTTTATTATTTAGAAGTGCACATGAAGAGAGGCCACATTTTGAGACTGAAGATGAATATTGGCAGTACATGATTAGGAAGAATAATTCTTATTATAATGCAATGCCTATGCCTAAAACTATACCGCCAGGAATTGAGTTCCCCATTCATATTAAACCTGAAAGTTCTTTTGAATTTATTAAAGAAAATCTTTTACGTTATTTATTTGATAATTTTTCAGGAATTATTGTAGGTTTTCTTTTAGCTTTCTTACTTGCTTCTTTTAAAATTTTAGTTTGGAAGAAGAAGAAAAATATTAAATTAATCCTGAATGATTTTACAAAATTACAAAGAACTTATAAATTGAAATTAAATGAGATTGTGAAAGAGACTTCAAAGCTTTTAAAAAAATTTGAAAACTTCAATTATAATACCAATAATATTGATGTTATTAATTCCAATTTTTTGGATTTTACAAACCAATTGAATGACAATTTTTTGATATTGAAAAACTTTATTATATCAAAATGTTATTTTTTGAAAACAAGCGCTTATGAACAGAATGCTAAAGATATTGATTTTGATTTTGAATTGGTTGAAGAATTTATGCAAAAAGTTGAAATTCAAACAAATAAATTTATTAAATCTTATATTGAAAAATCTATGAAATTATATTTACAGAAAAATAGAGAATTGTCAAAATATTTGGATAATTCAGATGATGATCTAATTGAAATTAGTAGTCACAACTTGAAAGGTAACGAAAGGGAAAAAGAAGAAAAAAAAGAAGTTTTGAATGAAGATTTAAAGTCGATTAAAATTAATTCAAGTCCAGAAAAAAGCTTAAAACCGTTAACTTTGTCAAATTTGAAATCTTGTAATAGATTGTCAAAATCTCATCGTTCTCTTAGTCATTCACCGGGTAGTTACAGTGGTAGTGGTGTACTTTCTCATATTCAACTATATTTTGATGATGATTCAAAAAATAGAACCAATGGTGCGGCATCAGGTATTTCCACTTCCACTCCAATTCATAGCAGCCGAGATAGTGTTAGTGTCAATGCCACTGGTAGCTCTGATAATTTTATCAACATTTCCATGAACTCTCTTAATGAGTCAAGGGAGCTGATTGACCAGTGTGAACAAAATATTTTTAAGATTGATTCTGAGTTAAAAAAATTAAAAGATAAAAGTAATTCAGTGCCACCAATAAGTGGTAATAGTAATGGTGTAAGAAAATTTGAAGATATTAATAAAGATTTGGAAATAAATGAATTGAGATTGAAAAATATTAAGTTTGATTTAATTAATGAAAGTTTACTTATTGATCAAAATGAAAAAATGGAAGATGAATATGCTCAGCTAAATTCCCCTACTCCAAAGTCTAAAAATGGTTTACAACAAGAAGTTTTTAAAGACTTGGTTACAGTTGATGAATTTAAAGATTTGAAAAAAGAGAATAAATTTTTGTTGAACAAATTAGAGTCATTAGAATTAAAGATTTCTGAACAAAAACAACAAATTTTTAATAAAAACTCTGAATTTTTCAAGAATTTAGATTTCATTTTAAGTGATAAATTAAAACAAGAATTTAACCTTATAAATGAAAAATTGATTGAAAATAATTCTATAACTCAAAGTAAAAATAATAAAAAAATTCAAGAATTTGGTCAAGATCTCAAGATATTGAATAATTTTAATAATTTCAATTTTTCAATAATCAAGAATTTAAATAAGAAAATTAATGAAGAATTATCATTAATTGAAAAAGACTTGATTTATGACTTACAATCAAGTTTCAAAGCCATTATTGGTAAATCTAGTTTTCTTGATGATTTAACTATCTTTGAATATACTGATACTGATATTATAAAAGCGTTAAATGATGCTAAACATAATGCGTTAAATGATTGTAATCTTTATTTTATCGAATATGCATGTTTTAGTGGAGGAAGTCAAGATATGATATTTGAAGATAAAATTACATTTGAACAAGATAAACTTTCTCATAATTGCAAAATTATAATAAGTCAAGTAATGTTTAAAGCTTTTAATAAAATTATAAATCAATTAAACAATTTTATCAAATTAGAAGAGAATTATAGCAATACTAATGATGGTAAAAATGGTGAAAAATTAAACCTATTGATACAATTTAAAAAACTACTTTTAGAATTTGAAAGCAAGATTATACCAGAAATTGTTCAATTAAACGAGAAAATTATAGGTAATTTAATTACTGATTTTAAGAAACTTAACATTTACAAAAAATCATGTCTTGAAGTCTCATCCACAGGAACAACCTCAACCAAGAAAAAAGAATCCCAGTCTCCAATTAAAAAAGTCTACGATAAAGTCATTAGCTGTCTCTACGATGACTCACTAGAAAATGTATCCTCTGGAATTGGAGACATCAATAAAAACAAAACTGTCACCCCAGATTATATTACTCTTACGAAAAGAACAACTGGCTTGGTGAATGTTAAAAGATACCTCGAATTATAAACTACTTCAAAACTAAAACTAAATTGCTCATATGACCATTATTTATACCCTTGTTACCTTATTTGTTTTCCTATACTTTTTTTTTTATTATGATCTTAATATCCTAATTGTAAATTTACTAATGTTAATAATACTAATGGAAATAATATGACTTGACTTGAGATTTTATGTAGACACACAAGCGGTAAGCTTTTACCTTACCACACTGCAAACTATCACTGTTTAAGATAACACTTTAAGCGAGCGGTACTAATGTTATAAGCGGTACTAAAGAAAGAAAGAAAAAATAAGCACATAAAGGTAGTGTACTGAGCGCGAAATAAACCAAAAGAGTAATAGTAAAAAGGAAAAAAAAAAAAAAAGAACGCCGATATTGACATGGACAGGAATTGAACCTGCAACCTTTCGATGACACTGCCAGAAGTTTTCAATTGGAGTCGAAAGCTCTACCATTGAGCCACCACATCATTCGGTAATGCAATCGGAAAATATAAGTGTTAATATTAGTTTGGGATTATAGGTAGCTTGGTAACTTTGCAACTTAGTAACTTAGATTAAATTTCAAATGGGTTCAAGTATTCCAACAACTCATCGTAAGCTGGAATCTTTTTCCTTGTAATGTAGTTGTTCTTCTTGTCTTGAATGACAGAGATTTCGTCATATTCGTTCCAGAAACATTGAACATTTAATCCTAAATCTGGAACGTTGTTATCTTCAAAATTAAAATCAAAACTTGGTAACCATTCTAATCCAACATGATAAAAAGGTGATGAAAAATTCAATTTGTATAATAATACTTCATCTATACCTTGCAGTATTTTGAAAATATGTGCATTTTTGTCTGGGTCATATGATGGACCTGATGGAGTAGCAAAGATTTTAGAACCATTTGATGGTGGATATTGATCTCCGTCATGGTATATAGTTATCGATTTCACAGGTGAGAGTAATTTCTCATCTTGTTGTTTTTTAGTTAAATCATAAGTTGAGGTATTAAACGAAAGTAAGCAATTTCTATTTTTGGGAGCCCAGATTCTAAATTCTGCTGATAATAAATAGTAAGGTGATGAAACAGAAATTTTATCCTTTTTGTTATCGTCTTTTAATAGTTCAATTCTTGTATAATTTTGGAAATCATTTTCCTCGATTGAACCATCAATTAACCAAGGTCTCAAAGGATCAAAATATGAACATGATTGTTGACCAGTTGAAAGCTTATCGCATAGAACCTTGAAATTTCTTGATTCCTTTGATTCCTTGAGGGATGGAAGATCGTTGATTGCAGACTCAAGAAAGTCACCATATCCAGTTAAAGTAACAGAATCCACAGATTTATCCAGATCAATTGTTTGTAAAAAAGATAATTTCAGTGGGTTTTGTAAAGATACTGCATTTTGTGAAATTGAAACATAACCACTAATGATAAAACTCAAGATTAAAACAACAAATATTAAAAAATTCAACCTGTGAACAAATGGTAATAACGGTAACCCTAATAAGACGGCAAAACAAGCTATCATATTAAATGCCGCTTTTTGCAAAAGATCACTTTCTTGTACAACGTTATGTATACCTTCCATAATTAATTCTCCTAAATCATAAACTATAAATGTTGTAATTGGTACAAATATTAAGAATTGAATTGACCAGTCATATGAAAAAGATTTCATAGCAGCTTTTTCTAATTTCTTGTTAAAATTTTCTTCAGATGCTTCAAATTCAGTATCAAAGTTATCATGTTCATGTTCATGTTCATGTTCATGTTCATGTTCTTGTTCTTGTTCTTCAATCTCGGCATTTCGATTTGCTGTAGAAGTTGCTAATAGTGGAACATTTTCATCTGCTTGAATACCATTTACATTTTCGGTTTCTGTGGTTTCTGTACCATTCTCCAAATTTTCAACATTTTCAACATTCTCAACATTTTCAGGTTCCGTTCTATTATTACCAGTAGCTTGAGTATTAGACCTTCCATTATAATCAGTAGAACCATAATGTTTAATGTTCTCATATTGATTGTATTTAGGATTAGACTTGAATGCCATCCCCAATAATCCAAATAAGCTTGCTCCTGATATTAAAATGTAAACAATAATTATAGAATATTCTCCAATATTATCCTGTGAATGTAGTCTAGCTGTACTAATTATACCTGATATCCAAAAAATAAAACTTAACTCTAATAGTATAATTAATTTTTGATCATGAACTGGGAATAACCAATCACAAAAATTTAAAACCAAGTAATTTATTATAATGGCAAAACTTGAGGTAGTTATCAATACTGCAAACCAATTATTATTAAGTATTATCGGATTCATCAGATTGATAAAATTTGTTAATGAAAAAGTCAAGAATGATGACAGTATTATACTAATTGGTAATCTGAACCAACCATGAATACCTTTAAGATGCCATGTTTCCCTCTTTATAACAATGATTAATAATAATATTGTGAAAATTGGTATTGTTGTTAAAATGAAAATGTTTAGTGCGTATAATTTACTCACTGGAAAACTGATAAACCAATAGTTTAAAACATCAAAAAACACTGAAATTGAAGTATCACTGTTAATCTCTTGACTATTACTTAAGGCATTTAACAAGTCTAAAGTATTTGAAAGCATACTCCATAAAGAATTCTTTGAACTTGTTTTAATATTGTCAAATTCAGTATGATATAAAGATCTTGGTCTGTAAAAAGCTATATCAACACCTCTTAATCCTTTCAGTGAATAAATCTTATAGTCAGTTTCAGATTTAATTAATCCACTTTGGAAACCTTGCTGGAAAATAGAATTACCATATGGTCTTCTAACTTTCTGATAAAAATTCACAACTCCATAATCAGTACCTCTAAATAATATAGATCTTCCTCCAGCACCTGTTCCTTCTAAATTAATAAAATATTTAACTAAATTAGCCCATTCATGATTGGAAAAAACTTCTGCTCCCATCAAACCATCTTCTTCGTTATTATTAAAATTGAAAATTATTGTTCTCAAAGGTTGTTCCACATCTTTAGACATCAAATTTTCTAATATCCCAAGCATTGAAGCAACCCCCATCCCATCATCTGTAGTTCCATAAGAACTTGAAACAGAGTCATAATGTGAGCTGATTAATATTCCATCTAAACTTTGATCTTTCCCAGTCACTTTCACCAATATATTCCCACTTTCAAAATACACAATTCTATTATCATTATTATTAAACATATTCTGTTGCTTAAAAATAGATCTTGAACCAAAATCATCATAAACTTCTGTATATTCTACTTTTAAACTAACAAGACTTTTAACTTTTTTCAAAATATAATCATGTACAACATCATTCGCATGAGAAGAATAAGGATGAGGTTTCAAACAAATCTCTTGTAAGTCCGACCAAGCACTCGTCAATATCAACTGTGACAGTTCATCCGATGGCAATCTTAACGATTGATATTCAACATATGAAGGTAAAAATATTGCAAAAAAATAAGATAATACAACCAACAAGCTTAAAGTTGTCTTTCTAAAACCAAATGTAGACCTTATAAACGATACAATTATACCAGGACCATCATCCTCTTTTGAAACACTTTTCATCTTATATCGATTCCAATGACAATTCCAATGACAATCAACCAATTAATCACCTGTATATCGTCGTTTTTGAAATTGGAATATCGTTTTAATTGATATATTTTATAAAATGTAAACGGTATAATATACGGGCCCTTAATAATAATAAAGAAAAACAGTACTTAAAGAATTTTTCAGTTTTTAATAATAATGTTCACAATTAAACAATTAAAAGAGAATTAATTATTTGAATTTAAATTACAAGATGTCTGTTGATGAAGAGTTTGCTCCGTTGAAGAATGATTTGATTTTGAGAGCTGCAAGAGGTGAAGTTGTTGTTGTACAAGGATCCAAATTTCCTTGTAAAGTGACTCTACCATTGTTTAATGCAACTGCATCTTCAGGTTTATATAACCAATCTAATGAAACACAAGAATAACCTGAATCACATAAGTTATCTAATGCGTACCATGAACCTTTAGCAAAGATAGTAATTGGAATTTTTCTTTAATTCCTAATTCTTTTAATTTTAATGGTAATTTAGAACTTATTTGTTTCAAATAAGGTAATGAAAATTCATTAAATTCATTTGGACCTAATTCTCCACCCCAAGATTCGAAAACTTGTAACATTTGAGCACCTGCTTTAACTTGATGAGCCAAGAAATCAATAGCAACATCAGTAATTTTTTGTAATAAAACATGTGCTTCTTTTGTATATTTATAAATCCATTCTTTAGCGAATCTAAATAATTTAGAACCACCTCCTTCAACCATATATACTAATAAAGTCCAAGGACCACCACAAAATCCTAATAACGGTACTCTACCATTAAGTTTTTTCTAGTAACTGTAATTGATTTTAAAGCCCAACCTAATTCTTTTTCAATATCAACTTTCTCATTTAATTTCAATAAATCTTCTGGTTTTCTTAAAGGATCAACAAAATGTGGACCTTGTTTTTCAATCATTTCAACTTCCATACCCATTGCTTGAGGAATAACCAAGATATCACTAAAGATAATCGCAGCATCAATTAAACCTTCAAAATGTTCAATAGGCTGTATGGTGATCTCAGAAGCTATCTCAGCATCACGACAAGTCTCAAAGAAATCACGGCCACCTTTAACTTCATGATACTCTGGCAAATAACGTCCGGCTTGTCTCTATAATTCAACAAAAAAAAAAAAAAAAAAAAAAACAAATCATCATCGTTAATAATAAAACTTGGAAATCTTTATATAAAGAAAATAAAAAGACTTACCATAATCCAAACTGGAGGTCTCTTGTATGGATCAAAAGAAGTCATTACTCAAAAAGTTGCAAATATGATTAAAGGTTTTAATGGTGGTAAAAAAAATTATATCATCAATTTTGGACATGGAACTCATCCCTTCATGGATCCAGAACAGGTTAGATGGTTCTTACAAGAATGTCATAGACTTGGATCCTTATAAACCTCTTTTTCCAAATAATTGAAGTTATTTAAAGTAATTGGGAAAATTCCATTTTGTATAGTTAATTCTTAACTTTTTTTATATAAATATTGTTTTGTATTAATTTTTCAGTAAATTTTTCATGTTTTAATTAAAAAGAATTTATATGATAATTAAATTAAAAGAATAAGAACAGAAGTAAATAGGTTTAATGTCTAAGATAAAGAAGGAGAATATCTCACAGTTTCAATCCAATGAGCTTTATATATATCATTTGTCAAGAGATGTGCTAAATTCATTAGAATTGTTGTATTTTGATTCGTTAACTACAGAGGCAATTTCTCCAAACAGTATTGTTTCGTTAACTTCAAAATCTTTGGAACAACATAATGAACAATTGATGGATAATGAACAATCACAACTGATTTCTAATGTTTGTCAAACTTGTGGTTCAAAGTTAGATGGA